AGGTTCTTTAAAAAAAGCATAATATATATTTATGTAATATAGATGTATATAATATATATATAAATATATAGTATAAATATATAGAAACCTTACCTTTTAAACTACTTTCTTCTCCTGGTAAATAAGGATCCTCTTCATTATTTTCAATATTGAAATATTCGTTAATATTTTCTTCCTCGTCTCATTGATATATAAATTGAAGATCTAGGACTTTGGCTTCCTCTTTCTTCTAGAATAATATCCCTTCGACTAATAAATAAATCTAGTATATCTCGAACTACTAAATTAATAATATGGGAAGCACATTGAATATCGAATGAATTATTTTTAGTAAATTCAATATAGTGCCTTTTAAAATATTCTTAAAGAAATCTCGTATTCGAACTAGCGTTATCACGAGTAAAGCTACAATATATATATTAGTAAATTAAATAGTTATATTAAATAATATTATAAAATAATATTCAGAAAATTATAATATATAGATTATATTATAATTTATAATATTATAACGTACCTTATAATAATAGAATTTCCTTTCAAAGGTTTATATTCCTCAATTATATCTACAAACGCTTTAAGATAATAGAAACCGGTAATGGAATATTTAGTAGGTAAAGGTTCGAATCCTATATCAATTTTATATTAATATTATACTAATAATTATATTAATAATATAACTTACCGATTAATTTATATTTATATTCGAAATTCCCGTTAATATAACAGATTTTAACACCAAAATAAGAATCGCCGCTTCGTAATTTCCAAGAATCTAAAATAATAGAAGCTTTTCCACCAGAATTAATGTGTTTGATTAATTCTAAATTAAAAGCCTTAAAATCACTATTATAAAGGGTAGAAACTTTATTACGAATCTTCTTTCGATTTAAAGCCATAGTATTTCTATATTAATTTAATTAGTATATATAAAATTTAAATATTTTCAAAAGAATATAATAATACCTATTATAATAATTTAAAAGTTCTTTAAACGAATCCCATTCAATAACGTTAAAAGCAATATTATTATCAATAAAAAACTATAAAATTTCCGCATAAGCCGTATCTTCATTAAAATCCGAAACGGTAATATTTCGAAGTCTTTTAATAGAAACGCCTTTCATTTATTCAAAGGGAGTAGATATTTCTATATTTTATTAATATTTATAATTATAATATAATAAATTGTAGTTTCTAATAGTAAATATATATATATATTTATATTTATATATATATATATATATATATTTACTGTTATATTATAGAATAGAAAATTGTATTAACTTACTACTTTTTAGTTAGTTTTCCATTTTCTCATTTGTCGGTTTATTTTTATGGTTTACTTTCAAGTGTTTAACAAAATTCGACGCTTGAAAACCTTTAACATTTTCGATTTTACTATAAGTACAACTATAAAAAAACTAATATTAGTATATATAATTTATTATATTTAATTTTATATAGATTTATAATATATAACTTACTATTTACAAGATAGTTTAAATTTTCGAGGTTTAAATATATCGATTGGTAATAATTTAACTATAAATTGGCCTGCTTGTATAATATAGGCCTTTGATTCGAAGGTAAAATCCGGTTCATTTTCAATATTATTACTATAATCCCATTTGAAAACTACTAGAAGCAGGAATTGGGGAAGTATCCTGGATTGCTTTCCCTTTCCCTTTTATATTAGTATTGATATTTAATTTATTAATTCTTTAGGGGTTTTGTATTGGGTAGGGGTAATAGCTTCGTTATCGTCGGAATCGAAAGGCATTATAAATATTTCAATAAATATTTTATTTAAAAAACAGGAATAAATAACTAAATAAAATAAGAAATATAAATACAATAGATTTTTCATAAGGATTTTAAATAATAAAGTTTTTAAAGAATAAATATAAAATTGGAATATTAGTATCGTAATATAAAAGTCTTAGTTATTGTAGTTGTTGTTTTTGGAAGAGATTATAAAATTAAGAGATAGGAGGTTGGGGGTCTTTTATACTTTAAAGAATTATAATAATTCTTGGAATTTAATTTATTAATTATAATTGTTAAATTAATTCATTATTATCGAAATAATTAATTATTATTGAATTAATTTATTAATCCGAGTTGAAGTAATTACTTATTATTAAATTAATTAATTCGAGTTAAATTAATTAATTCGAATTGAATTAATTAATAAATTGTTGAATTAATTAATTATTATCAAAATAATTGATTATTATTGAATTAATTTATTAATTCGAGTTGAAGTAATTACTTATTATTAAATTAATTAATTCGAGTTAAATTAATTAATTCGAATGAAAGTAATTAATTAATTCGAATTGAAATAATTAATTATTATTAAACTAATTAAGTCGAATCCAATTAACTTATTAATCCGAGTGGTGATAATTAATTATTATTGAATTAATTAATTCGAATTAAAGTAATTACTTATTGTTGAATTAATTAATTTGATTTAAAATAATTAACTCGAGTTACGATAACTAATTCGAATTGAATTAATTAATTCGAGTTGAAATAATTAATTCTTATTTAATTAATTAATTATTATTGAATTAATGAATTAGAATTGAAATAATTAATTATTATTAAACTAATTAACTCGAATTGAATTAACTTATTAATTCGAGTGGAGATAATTAATTATTATTGAATTAATTAATTCGAATTAAATTAATTAATTAATTAATTAAACCTTTAATTACTTTTAATAGAAAGTTTATAGTACAACAATTATTATTTATATTCCTTATCCCCTACTTCGAATTCTAGTTTTCTTTCTTCTACACACAGCGAATTCGAACATTTATACTCTTACAAGAATTATTACAACAGTACAACTCTTATAACGTTAAAATTTATTAAAATCCTTTTAGTAAATTTTCAACAATGGCTACTACTACTTCGGCTTTTCCTTCCGCTAACCACTACGGCTATACTTCTATTCAAAGCCGTTTTAGACAACTAAAGGATGCCATTTCTACCTTTGAACAAAGCCCTAGCTACTGGAAAATTACTGAAATTTTTGGCGAAGCCTGGGCTTTAGAAAGAGATATAATGTGGGAAGTAAGTTTTCTATTTTATTTAATAAAAAAATCTTTATAGAGTATGTATTAATATTATTGATAGTATAACCTTCGTAACGATAAATATTTCGGTTGAAGAACAGCCGTTCCTTATATTTGCTATTCTTATTCTACCGTACGTATTTACCTTTCTTATATATATTTTAACCTTTTGAATTATTTATATTAATTTTTCTTTTAGAATGATTTCCACCCTTTAACTTCAATCCTGAAAATCCACCCTTCAAGCGATGTAGACGAATATTCGGAAGAATTTGACCAATTAGAAGGCGATATTAATACCGATGAACACGGCGAATTAGAAGAATTATAAACCGAAGACCTAAGGCCTATTCTTTCCAATATATATAAGGAAATTCAAACCTTAAAAATTGGATTTGCTAATTCGATTACGGCTTGGAATAATACTTTAAAAATCCAGGAGGAAATCGAAAGAAGAATAAAAGAAGATAAAGAAAAGGAAGAATACCTCAATAAATTTGAGTGGGCAGAAATTAACAGGCTACGAAAAGAAAAGCAAGAAATCCACGATGGTTTAAGGGAGGAAATTCGAAGACTAAGGAAGAAGGTTGACGATTATAAAAGAATAATCGAAGTAGGTGAAGGTTTGGAAACGAATATGGAAGCTAGGGATAAAAGCGCTTTCGAAGTAAGTTATCATCTTTTTTATTTATTTATTTATTTATTTATTTATTTATTTATTTATTTATTTATTTATTTATTTATTTATTTATTTATTTATTTATTTATTTATTTATTTATTTATTTATTTATTTATTTATTTATTTATTTATTTATTTATTTATTTATTTATTTATTTATTTATTTATTTATTTATTTATTTATTTATTTATTTATTTATTTATTTATTTATTTATTTATTTATTTATTATGTATTTATTTGTTTATTTGTTTATTTATTTCTTTATTTATTTATGCATTTGTTTATTTATTTATATACTAATTAAATTATTAGAAAATCCCGATGCTTATAGAAAGAGGGCTCGAGCGTGAAGGAATAGGAAGCTAATTGTAAGTAATTATTTATTTCATTATTACATATATATATATATTTATTATTTACTAACGTTTTATTAGGATAACCAGATATTCTGGGTTTGTGATAATACTCGTTGCAATAAGCGGTCTTTAAATAAGCATGCCTTGCAATATCATTGGCGCCAGCAGGAGAATTTGAAGAAGGAAGGCCAGTCTTATAAGGCTTGCTTTGAAGGAGTGTAAATATTATATATATAAATAATAGTAAGAATAGTTATAATATTTATTTATTATAATTATTCTTACTATTATATATATATATAATATAGATAGATTACTGAGAGATTTTTTTCTTCGTTTTTACTATACTTATATTAGTATTTTTAGTATACTAATTAGTACTCAAAATACTAGAGTCGTACTAATTCGTACTAATTCTAGTACGAATTAGTATTTTCAATAGTGTAATTTTTATTAATAACTTTACGAGTATTAAATATTTTTAAAAACCGTTAACAGTATTAAAACCACCTCGTTTTCTAGTATATTTTACATACTAAAACTATTTTTAAAAAAATACTAAAATACTCTAGTACGTACTAAATACTAGAGTACTAATTAGTATTAGTATGGGTCTAGTACTAATACTAGACTAGACTAATACTAATCCCAACTCTGTATCGACCTGAGGTATGTGCTCTAGATGCCACCCTTTTTGTTATAAATGAGCGTCCCTGTGTTCTCTTTATTGTCCTGATGCTTGCTAATGAGATAGTGTTGGTTTAGAGGTAGTTTTGGTTTCCGGTCATTAGAAGGTATATGTAAGCAAACACCCAGGTCCCAGAGGACCTGCCACTTGGTTGCCTGAAGGTCTGGAGCCAGTGGTGACACCTTACCGCGGTGAACACGGAAGGCTCCCGGTCAATGTCACCTCCTTCTACGGTCTCTGTGAGTCTAGACTATCTTCTTGGCTTATTACTTTGCCTGTGCTCTGTGTATCGAAACACGTTGATTCAGTCATCAGTCCTTCCATGAACACAACGGCCGTTCGAGACATGGATATACGAAGCACAGCACTCAGACACTGCTGGTAACCGCCAACTTCGTCTCTCCACATACTTATCTGGCACCCGTTCCATCGTCTTCGGGTTCTGATGTCTATAATGGCTTTGGATGTAAATCGACCTTCTTCACAACGTGCATGTTGAGACCACACCCTCGCTGTCATGCTATCTGCCACTTTGGTCCTCAGTAGAGGCAACTTACAAGTCTTCTACTTGACTCTGCTCTTCATTATCCTAGTACTACATTCACCTGTCCACGCTCAAACATTGGACTCCCCTACACCTGAAAACTTCATCCGCCGAGCTCATAATAGAGGTAAGAGCAGCCGCCGGTTGTTTGTTTTGTCCTCAAACACATCTGCAGCTTTTTATGATGCTGACTCGGCGTAGCAATCGTGTTGGGAACCTTCGTTTACATCGATGGTGGCGAAGTTTCTCAGGTCGTCGATGAGAAGTTGCCGCCCGATGACCAGGCATTGAACGTGATGAACTCGACGCTTTCATAGATATCTCCAAGTCGTGGACCACATCGAGCGTTAAGATCAGAACAATACCACGGAAAGGGCCCGTTGCTCTGAACACAGAGGCAATATGGATCGATAGCACCGGCAACAGTTTTTACATATACGGCGGAGTAACGAGCTATAACAGGAACGAGAAGGACATATCCAAAAAGGGGATCTGGAAGTTTACCGCTGACGGTCAAGGGGGTGGGAGCTGGTCCCTGGAAGAACCGGCCAACCCAGATACATTCACTTCGCTTCGGTATACGACGAATTCGGCATATGCCTCTTCTGCCGGAATCGGTTTCTCGATCGGGGGTTACCAAGCGGGCGACACCGACCCTGATATACCGGGAGGCGGGGACAATGGGCGTTGGCAGACGTCTGGCATGGTATCGTACAATATGATGACGAAAGAATGGCAGAATCACACATCAATCGGAATGCTGGGACCAAAACAATCTCTGGAAGACGGCAGGGCGATCCACGTTCCCGGGTTTGGCCCCGATGCACTCGTTTTCGTACTCGGTGGCTCTGCCAAAGCTGCTGCAGCTGACCCAAAAGCCTCCTCCCAAGGCCCTCTAGTCAGCTTTGCGAATGTTAGCTTCTTCGACCCTTCAAGCAAACAATGGTACTGGCAGACGACAACCGGTGAGGCGCCGAAAGGCCGTGTAGGTCACTGTCTGGTCGGTTCACTGAGCCAGGAGGGGTCATTCGAGATGTACGTTCATCCCATTCTCTCTCGCCATTTCGTGTCATTGGCATTGAGATTACCTTTAACGCTAACGCGTGCCCCGAGCAATCTAGCTTCGTGTACGGAGGCTCTACTCAGTCTTATGATAGCTCGCTCGACGACCTGTACGTTTTGAGCCTACCTGGCTTTCAGTGGTTTCGTGCGGACGATCGATCGGATACACCACGTGCTCGTGGCGCCTGCGTTGTAGTAGGTAAACGCCAAATGCTCGCCATAGGCGGAGTAGACTTTTCAAAAGGGCCCCCAAACTCAAAATATTGGCAAGATCAGGATCCGCTGCCTCAGGGCCTTGGACTCTTTGACATGACTGCCATGAGGTGGGTTAGGAATGGAAGTTACGACGCAGATGCGGAAGCGTATCAGTCACCTCAAGTGGTGCAGGACTGGTACAGAGCTGGGTAAGTTGTTGTCTTCAGCTTCCAACAACAGTTGCTCTGGCCAAAACAGAAACATGCCTGTCTATCTGGAGAAACTCAACTAACTGCCCATCAAAGAAATCTTCCAGCGGTTCCGTGGTCGTCGAACGTGGTGAAAGGAATGTTTTCGTCCGCCAACGTCACTTTCCCAACAGATGGACCAGTCGCAATTGGTAAACCAACATCGAAGATCAACAAAACAGGCCTTGTTGCTGGCTGCGTGGCGGCTGGATGTGTTGTTGTGGCCATCTTCGCGGCCGTGTTTCTCTACAGGAGACGGAGAACAAGAGAAACAAAGCCCTCTCCATCTCCAAATCAGAAAGACGAGGGCTTTGTCCAGGCGGAAGAGCCGAAGGAGTTGCCCGTCCAGCCACCTGCAGTGGAGGCCTATGTTCCGCCTGTTGAACTTGCGGAGGGAAACCATTATTGGGAACTCCCCGAAGGTGAACATCATAAAGCTACGCCTAGAGTGGAGCTGGATGCTTAAGGCTTGCCTGGATTGTGAATACAAGCAACCAAATGCGACAATGAGTACGACCATGAGCGTTCCCTGTAAGTCTTCACCGTCCCCGTCCTCGGGTTTCCTTGAACGCCTCCCGCGCCTGCTAACAGCGGAGCTACCTGGTCAACCGCTTGATGCTGGTCGCGCTAAAAGACCTGGCGGCTCGTCTCCTACGACAATACTTACCGTGGCGAGAAGACCACTGCACGCGCCAGCTTCCGCTCGTTATGAAATGATGGATCCCGCCAATCAGAAGGTGTTGTTGGAGTTGACTGAGGACAGAATCGTGGTCACAAACATCACGCAAGTTGACGGCGAGAGGTAAACTAAAAGGGTATAAACGTGAGAGATACTCCTATAGACCTATATTACACGTATCCACGTTTCCAAGACACTCGTGCAAAGGGTTAGACTCGCTTGCGTGCGATTCCTACATGTACTCCTCTCGCACCTACAGAGCGCCACATCTGGTGCTTCACAGAACGTATAAGGCAGCGACCAGCAACGCAATCGCCGAACCAGCCAGTGTGGTTGAGGTCTTCCCGATGCCACTAGCAGTCCTCACCGTGGTTGCAGTGCTCACCGTGGTTGCTCGAGCTCGATGCGCACCAAGGACGGGCCTTGAACAGAGTGGCGGAGTCGAGGACGGTGTTGTTGTTGCTGGCGACGAAATCGTGAGTCAGGTGAGTGCAGTTGTGGAAGGTCAGGCGACTCCAGCCGTAGGTGGCGTTGGTCGTGTCGAGGCCGAAGCGGCTGTAAGGCTGGCGGGGGCTCTCCAGGACGTCGAGGCCGTCGTAGTGGCCAGCTGCGCCGTTGGTGATGTACCAGGGGAAGGTGGGATTCTCCAGGCCGTTGGGATCCTCCTTGCCCTCGGCCAGTGGTGCCAGGCGCTCGTAGATGTGCGAATGGCCCGACAGCACCAGGTCGACCTTGTACTTTATCAACAACGGCTCGAAGACGTCCTTGCACGTGGAGCAGGTATCATCGGTGTTGCTGAGGTACAAGGCCCGGTGGCCGGCCACAATAACCCATGGAGTCTTGGAGCGGTCAACGGCCGCCAGATCGGCTTCCAGCCAGGTGGTCTGCGCGTTCATCGTCGCATTGACCGGGTCCACATTGAAAAAACCCTCGGATCCGCCGGTCTCGTCGGGGCCGATGAAGCCATGGCCCAGGTCGGTCTCGGTATCGAGCTGGATGAAGTGCACCATGCCGTGGTCGAAGCTGTACCAGAAGTTCCCGGTGCCGCCGGAGACGTCGCTAGGCATGCGGAAGTGGTTCTTGAAGCCGGTGAAGTTGGTCTGGCCCGGCATGCAGATACTGCTATCGTACGTGATGTTGTGCGCCTTGTCCTTGGTGCCAGCATTGTCACAGTTCGCCTCGTGATTGCCGGGGCCCACCATGTACGGCTTGCTGGCGGTGATGGCCATCATTTCGTCGTAGAACTCGTTCAGAATGGACTCGTACACCGCGGCCCCTCCCTGAATCGTTGTGTTGGGCAGAAATTGCTGGATCTCTTCCTTGAGCCAGTAGTCCGCGTACGCAATGTCGCCCGCATGCCAGAGGAAGTCGAAGTCAGCGAGGCTGCTTTCCAGCGAGTCGATGGTGTTCCGCTCTCCTGGCTGAAGAATGTTGGTACTCGCCACGGGGGCGCCCGCGGATGTGGTCAGGCCCTTGCTACCCATCGTACCGAGGTCGACGACGACGGCGACCGAGAAGGGGGTGTTGTCACCAGCCCTACGGCTCGTCGTAAAGTTGAAGATGTCGGTCGAGTTGCTCTTCATGAGCGGCGACGGCTTATAGAAGTAAGTCGTGTCGGGCCGAAGGTCGTTGATCAGCACGTGGTTATTGTAGGTCGTCGAAGTGGGATACGTTATCGAGACGTTGGACGTCGCAATGTTGTTCAGACGGTCCTTCGAAAGGCCCCAGTGGACAGAAGGGTTCTCGACGTGATTGAAGGTGTTCCAGCTGACCATCATGCCACTATCGCCGTGGTAGGCTAGGCGGATTTGCGAATTCGTGGTGTAGGCATGGGCGCTCGCGGCGGCAGCAGCCACGAGTAGGGAGCTGACCCTCATTGTTGTAAAGCGACGTAGAGTGAAATGTTTGTTTGATTCCTACTCTCCCTCTCCGGGGGAGATGCCACTGCTTTTAAACGCGTCGACATCCTTCATGTTGACTGCCTCGAATCGGTATCCCACACGTGCGTCCGTCGACAACGGCTCGCATGTGGTCTTGGAGACGAGCCATATTGGTTGAGTGAGATGGTGGAGCTAGCAGTCGGAGGAATTAGGCAACAGACATTGCGAACTTTACCACGGACACCTCTGCCGGCATATAGTGTAACTTGTTAGCGTGGTACCGCCACCTTACAATCTTCAGGGGGGTTGGAGGTGAGAAAAGCAGCCATTTTTCGTACGAAAAATGAGGTTATCGCCACTTTGCCATTTACCGCGCTTAACACTTTAAATGCCGGCAGAGGTGTTCACCCGACAGGGATAGTGACGTCAGATAGTTTTTGAAACCAATTAGCAAGCTCAACCAACTCACGTGTTAGAGGTACCTTGCGGCCGTACCTTACATATCCTTCCGAAACTAAGTGCTGACAACGCCCCACCCCGGGCCCGAGTCCGGGAATACTCCGGCTCAGTAGACTCAGGCTTGTCATACCGTCTCCCATTGTCGTAGTTCGAAACGATAACTTTTTAGTGAGGACTTGGTGATGGTTGCCGGCGCGCGAAGTTGATGCCAAGCTTGCCCACGTGCTTGAGGTCTTGGCTTGAGCTTGGCTATCAATTTGTATGGCCCCACACAGTCGATTTATCCCAGTCGGCCCGTGAATTTCAGAGCTCGACATGTTATCGACTAGCAGATCTACATCAATTGAACTACCGTGTCTTAGTCACAGCTCTGTGTTGCTTGATCAGCCTCATTCTCCAAGATAATGTGCCCGTCATACAGTAGATAATTTACGTCGAGACCTGAGGGAGGGAGGTGGTCTAGACCACCGAGTCCGTATAACTGAAGCAAGTGGCGTGGACCGCGACATGTCTGGTTTCACACGATGCTCGCTCACTGACCACCGAGAGAGCTCACCGGTGCTAACCTTCCACTTGTTTTGTTCTGCTATTGGAAGCCCTCACCCTGGCACTTAAATAAGGGGTATCCAACCGTACAAACAGCCACCTTGACCTCTGGACTGCGTTCAAATTGGGAGCGTTGCTCAACCCTACAGGTTGCTGGCCCAAGCAGCAACCACAGTCAACCCCATGGAATTCAAGGTCGTTCTTCTGACACTCAATCACGTGTGGAAACCTGGTATCATCCAGATGGTAGGGCACTTGCGAAGTGGTGGGGCCCCAAGTCATACAAGCAGTTTATCCAAAGTGAAGATGATTCGTAAGCGAGCCGTCACCCACCTCGAATATCAGTTCCGGGAATCCGGGATATGGACCAGGCGGATACCTTTAGTTGTTGCGGTAGAGGTATTCAGAACCATGAGTTGAAGATATCCTGATGCAATGTAGTAGTGTCCAAGCAAATAAATCCGGTGGTTTCTGCGGGAAGCCTCTGTTGGGGTAGGATCTCGTGATGTACCTCTAGGCACACTTCCTCCTAGATCTAGGCCCAGAGATCCGGATAAGTCACGCCTTGCTCCAGATTGTACAGATATTGTGGCTTGCTGGTAACCAATCATCAAATAAAGGCCTCTAATTCCCCGTACCCAAACATCCCAACCTGAAGACCCGGCAAGATTCTTGGCGTGGAGATTTATCTCAAGCCGTCAACAACTCCAAAGATAGACTCGTAAAGGTTGCCGGCCATCTAACTTGCAGTGAGCACGACAGGTGATTGTAATCGGGTTACCCCGTTGAGCTGGCTGCTGGAAAGCACCAAGACGCCATCCACACACACCGAAGTCAGGGGATGGGAGGGAAGTGGTGATAGCTTCATCTATCAGATGCACTGCAAATTGGCCAAGCTCAATGACGAAGACAAGATCATGACAGTCCGTCACCAAGCATAGCCACTCTACAGTCTGGAGTCAATACCGACTTGCATTGACGGGATGTAGATTAAAGCCAAGTTCAGCTCCGAACAGTTGCACGACTTGTCCGTCTCGCAATTGTTGCACATGTTCGGTGATGGTGAGTACATCGAAAAGAGCCCGCTCATGAGGTTCTCAGGGTTTCGCTAGGAGGTAAACGCTTCTGTGACGTGACATGGAGGGCATGAAGAATCCAGAAGTCCCTCAAGGCATTATCGACTCGCGATACTTTGCCTGATTTGTCTCCGGAGCACTGAAGCCGTCATGTTCCAGGTTTGAAGACGTGCACTTGCATAGAGGAGCTTGACTTGCCCAGCTTCTCTAAACCCATTCGTAGCTCGACGGAGGTGTTCTAAATGACTGGGGCAGGGTAAATGGAGTATAAAGAGAGGGTATAACTCACTTGAATATTGTCCTTCTGCCACAGCCAAGTCACTTCATCATATACACCCGCCACTCACCATTGAACAAATTCCTTTCAACATGCGTTCCATCCTAGCTCTCTTCTTTGGCGTTGCTGCCGCCATTCCCGTGGGTCAAGTCCTCGTCCCTCTCGCTCCGTTCCCATCGGACGTCAAGATCATCAGCGTCAGCGCCATCAATCGGGTCCGGCTGCCCGGCCGGCCATGCCTGGGTCAACATCGACGCAACCGGCACCACCTTCGATGTCTCATTTGACCAACACGCTGTCTCTGTCGGTCCGGGTTCTACCGCCACTGATACCAGGAGAAACTGCCGCGTGAGCATCAACTTGCAGTTTCCCCAGGGCTTCACATTCCAGTACGCTCTTTCTCTTCCATCCCATTACCCCAAGCTCCCGATCCCAAACGGATCACTAACAGTGCACCAGGATGTCCATCATCGAAACCCGCTTCATCGGCTACGCCTCCCTCACCGAAGGACAAACCGGCACCTGTCGCGCCGGCTACACCTTCACGGGCGACTCCAGCCAGGAAGTCGTCTTCCAGAAGAACCTGGCCAGCCCCTACGACGACAACTACTCCATGCTGGCGGGCGTGAGCGTGCAATCGTGGTCCAGGTGCGGGGCGTCGACGGCCATCCTCAATGTCAACTCGGAGGTCCGCATCGCGCCGCTTACGTCCCCGAAGAAGGGCATTATGACGGTAAGCAATCCTTGGCGAATTGTGCTCAGGTGGCAGGAATGCTAGGGAAATGTGAGGAGGGGAGAACTGGATAAGACAGCTGGCTGATGTGATGTAAACTTGTACGATAGGTCGATTCGTTTGATGGGAGTGTCCATGTTGTGTTTAGGACTAACTGGCGTTCCTGCTGAAGAGTGAAATTTGGTGGGTTGAAGAACAGGGTAGAGGTACCCTCGTGGATTGTTGGATGATTTGGATACATGCATGGAGGAGCTAAATGCGTTCGAGTCTGGTTGTCCGGCATCGACAGGTGGATTTAGGCAGTCCTTGAAGTCAATCGATGATAAATACCTCTGGTATGGTGAAAGAGAGGTGACATCAGCCAGAGAGACTTCCTCGGCGGGCAGTGTCACTTTCCTACGTGGGCAGTGTCACAGTAATCCCTAACCCTGATAAATCTTAACTTGACACGTCGTAAATGACGTAAATGACCATTGGACTTTCTTACCAGCATGAAGAGCTTCGATATGTGCAGTAACAATGTCAAGCTGCGTTTCGGCGGGCCGTTGGCACCTCACATCTGTCACGATTGGGTCTCGATCATGTCTTGAGTTGTGAAAACAACACGCTTTGCTTCAAATTCACTTCTTCTAACAAGATGCATCCTATCGCTCCTTAAATAATACCCCCTGACCTTCTCAAAAGCAAGCTCTGGGTGTTGCACCAGCCCTTAAGACCGATGATACCCCAATCGTGCCCCATGCCGGATTGCTTGAATCCACCAAACGGTACGTTAGCGTGCAGATCCTGATGGGTGTTGATCCAGAGACTGCCAGCCTCCAACCTCTTCGCGATCCTCTCCGCCCTCTCCAAATCACTACTCCAGACGGACGCACCCAGTCCCATATCGGTGTTGTTGGCCATCCTGACCACCTCATCCTCATCGCCGTTCCACTTCAGGACGGGCAGAATAGGACCAAACGGCTCCTCCTGCACGATCCTGGACTCCTCAGGCGGGTTATCGATGATGGTAGGCTTGAAGTAGTACCCCTTCTTCTCGCCCGCCTCGGCCTCGACCTCACCACCAATAGCAGGCTTCCATCCCTCCTTCTTAATCTGGGCAAACATCTCCTTGACCTTCTCGAACTGCATCGCGTTCTGAACAGGAGGGAAGAAGGCGCCCTCGGTGTCGTCGGACCCGCCGAACTTGAACGTCTTGACGGCCTCGACCATCCCGGCCAGGAACTGGTCGTAGATCTTTTCGTGGACGAATATCCTCTTAATGTCGACGCAGAGTTGGCCAGCGTTGTTGAAAGCGCCGAGAGCAACCTTGGGCACGACCTGGGCCAGATCGACATCCTCGCAAACAATCGCCGCGTCGTTGCCGCCCAGCTCGAGCGTCACGCGCTTGAGCGTGCTGGCGCACGCAGCCATGACCTTCTTGCCCGTCGGCGTGCTGCCGGTGAAGGAGATCTTGCGAATATCGGGATGAGCAGTAAGCCAGGGTCCCAAGTCCTCCTCGCCAGACAAAGCCTGGACAACACCAGGGGGGAAGATCTTAGCCGCCAGCTCAACCAGCTTCAGCGCGGTGTTGGGCGTGTACGGCGAAGGCTTCCAGATGAATGCGTTTCCAGCCAACACCGCGGGTCCCAACTTGCCGAGACCCAGAAACACGGGGTAGTTGAACGGGACGATACCGACACCGACACCAAGGGGAGTATACCGCACCTTGACGAGCTTCTCCTCGGTATCCTCAACCACCTCCTCCTCCAACCTCAGCTGCGCCGTCCCCTTCAAGTGCTTGATTGCGAAGTCGACCTCGAACTGCGCCGCCATGGGGGGCTTGCCTTCGAGCGCAAGCAGAGAGGCAAACTCCATGAAGTTGGCTCGGATGGCATCGGCGAAGGTGTCGATGAGGGCAGAGCGCTCGTCGACAGGGGTGTCACGCCATGAGGGGAACGCGGCCTTGGCGGCCGAAACAGCAGCGTCGACGTCGGACTTGGTGGAGACGGGGACGGGAGGAAGGGGGGCCAGGGTGGAGGGGTTGATGGCGGTGCGGGTGGTGGGGGTTGACTTCAACTCATTGTTGATGACGTTGTAGAAGGTCTGGAGATGTGTTAGTAGGTGGTTCATGTGTGGGAGCGTGACAGTGGTGATAACTGAGGGCGGCAAGGGCAGCCCACGAGAGGGGCCGCCAGGGGCAGAAAAAGGTAGTGAAAGGGGAGAGGACATACCGTGAAGTCGATCTTGTAGTCAGTAGTAGAAGCCATCTTGAATGTGGTGGTGTCTCTTGTGAGGATGGATGCGAGAAAGGTGAGTGAGAAGATGGTAGAAGATCCGAAAGTTAGAATATCAGGATCCTTTTCCCATCTTTATATACCCCCCAAGCTTAACCTCCCACCGGAGACATTCTGACATCCAGGACACGTTTTCCCATCTCGGTGCCTGGTCCGGTTGCCATGTTGAACGGGGAAGTCATGGTTCTGGGCTGTTGTGAAACTGTTGTGCTAGCGGCACAAGGGTTTGTCACGGTGAGCGGTGACGTGGTAGTAACGTGGGAGAAACCTCTTTCTCCGAGAAAGATCGGAGGCGGCACTTTCTAACAAACGGTGAGCGGTGCCATGGCAACGTGGGAGAAAGAGGTGGCACTTTCTACACCTCTGCTGGGATACAACTTCGTTAGCGTGGTTTATGCGGGTGGCAACGAACCTAAATTTATGCACAAGAAATAGCTGGCTTGTCGTCTGTCTGCCCCCTGTTTCTTGTAGATTTCCCGTACCAAGCTAACAAGTTGTATCCCGCAGAGGTGTAACAAATTGGCATACCTCAAGGGTGAGAAGCCGATGGAGCATTTGGACCGGCCGTTCCAGTCTTACCGGTGCAGAGCTATGGGGCGGCCGCATAGTTCCGCTATCGCGGAACGATCCAGCGGGTCCAGTGGGCACAACGGTCTGTTTCATAATGCCATCGATTGGATGGTTCGCTTGCCGTCCATGGAAGACAGGGATTGCAATGGGGCTCGTAAGGATCAGGTGGGCATTGTTGAGCCCCTCTTGGCGGCTTGGCCCCTGAAGCTAAAAGAAAGGGTTGAGAAACGACGGTTTGTCTTCTGCATAAAAGTTTCCGAAACGACGTGGCGATCGATTGCTGGTCTAAACAATGCGAGAGGTCGTGGTATACACGTGTACTGGTATGGACGCTGGCCAAGACGTACGATCGGTGTTACTGACGGGAGAACCCCTATTCAGATTGTACCCCTTTCCTGGGGATGACTGGGCATGAGTGAGCATCCTCGGTTGTGTGCATGGAGATGAATAACGGCTTGGGGATTGAGTAAGAGGTCGTAAGATATTCCTGCCACATTGTGTGTGATGTTGGTTGAATAGAAAACGTGAACGTAAAGATATAGACATTATTCATAGCCAATGCGGCATCTACGCTGCCAGTTAAAGCCAAAAAGCAGCTCTATCTATGGGTTTCCAAGAAAAAAACCAACAAAGCCAAGAAAACATACCTCTAAAAAGAACCAACGCTCTCTCTATCCTGCATTCGTAGATCAGTCATTACGCAAAGTTCACCAAACCAAGCAAGGAGACAAGTAGCAAAGTCAGAAGGCCGGGAGTCGGCACCCTCACCGCACCCGAATCCTTACCACCCTTACCACTGTTCGGGTCAATTCCGGTCGCCTGTCTCCCGAGGTACCAAGCCCCGATATCCGTCAATTCGCCGTCACGGTTCAACATGGCAGCATTAGGGCCAACATTGGACACATCTGCGCGGAAAGCACCGAAAAGGGAGTATCTTTCGACAAAGTCCAGCCGATCCAAGTATTCGGCCGACGTTTTGTAGAAGGCTTGGGTCTCTTGCAGGTTGGCATTGGCGAGATTGTACTCGGTGACCCACATGGACTTGTTTGGGAAGCTGTGCAGTCCCGAGGTCAGCCTGTGGTCGTGGAGAGCAAGAAACGGGAAGGAAGAAAGGAAAGGACCTACGCAGCAGAGTATTCTCCCATATGACTAGCCAGCCCCTCGAAATTGCCATACCAGTGGATGGGAACAAAGTCGAAGGTACAGTTCTTGGTCTTTGCATCCTCACTGATCAGACCAGAGCAAGCCTCCAAAAACTTTTTGGACCACTCCAGCCCCGCGGGAGCACCCGTGCAAGCCGGCAACCCTACTCTTAGTGCCTTGTAATCCTCCTGCAACGGCACAATGTTGTTCACCCACACCTGGGCGGCCACCTCGGGGTCAATGTCGCTCCCACCATACTCTCCCGGTCCATCAGGCTCGTTGAACGTTAGGATGTGGGTGATGTTGACACCGCGCTCGTCGATCAAGGTCTTGATGGTGTTGTAGAAGGACTTGTCGTTGATATCGGAGGGAGCGCCCCAGAGCATGGGAACGAACTCAAAGTCTGATTGGGATAGGTTGGAGTAGATCTGGGAAGGCAGCGGTTTGTAGTTGTAGTACCATGTCAGGTCGGTGGGAGGGGCAGTCCAAATGTAGGCGTCATGCGGGAAGGTCGAGTTGGGAGTGAAGACTAGGCCGCGCTTGGAGTTGGCGGAAGCGGATGTGACCAAGAGGGCGGCAGCGACCGCGATGGCTCGGGTAAGCATGTCGAGGGCGCGGTTGTGGTGATGATGGGATCGGATCCAAGGCCTCTTGGTTTGGGATTGAAGTAATCAGACTCGGAGGCTGGGAACTTGTTCGGAATAAGGCATCGGCGGTTGTTGATAACGACTCGACGAATGCGACGCCGGAGAGCTGACGGATACTTGCACCGTTACAAAGGTCGTATCGAGGCTGGTTCTTGCTGCAGCTAAGAATGTCGTGGGAAGGTCCAGTCTCGTTCTATCGGCCGTCGAAACAGTAAAGTGAAAGCTGGGATCTGGAACTCTAAATGTCATCAGAAACAGCAGGTCAGCAAGTAGAAAAAGGGCCGTCGATGCTTTTCCGTTTCAGCTTTCTTCATCACTGTGGCCGAGCCTCGTATTTGCCATTTTGCAACCGCCCAGTCATGCGCGTCGACAGAGCCCAAGGAAACATTCCTATCCCGATGTGGAAATTCGACGGCGTCTACGGGCTGACGGCAGTGAGCTGAGAGTGCTGCCAAAGATAAGGTACCTAACCATGTCTAATAGGTCGGGATGGCACAGCAGCCATGGAGGTGCCAGAAACGCCATCTTCAGGTACTGGAAGCCTCATGACGCCAAGGGAAAAAGAAAAGAGAAAAGAAATGGCATCGGATGAACTATTGTCAGCCCCAGGCATGATGTCCGCCAGCCACGGTGAGCCATTCAGTGTCGCTTTGGTGATGAAGTCGGATTGATATACCCTGGTGATATCTCGGGACGGTGAAGAGTTGCAGTTCTGTAATGGCCGAGAGTTCTGTCGTTGGAGCGATGTGAACCTCGACGTGTTTGTCCTGGCACATCTCATTGATGTGACTAGGTGTTCATGTGCCTGTAGCCGCGGCAGGCAGAGGAGTTGTCGCGTTCAGTTGTCGCTACGAGGATGGGGATGCTGGTCGTGGTAAAGAGGATATGAGCAATCCCAAGAAACTTCTTGGTGAAAGATATCATATATCGTCTTCCCTCCTTTTGGATATCTTGTGTCGCCATTGTCGGGCTAATATCATGATGAAGAAGAGTTCATGATGGTGTTGGACCCGGAAAAAGGATGAACTGCCGAGGGTACACGTTTGCCCGCACGACCGTTGACTTTTTAGTGGACCGAGGTGTCGGTTCAGTGGTGCCGTCGACCGGAGGTCAGTGCAGTTGGGGGCAGCTGTTAAGGACTGATGCGGCAGTGTGGGCAATCCCCGTCACGCCCACTTTCCGCCCTCTTCCCCGCAACCGTTTGCCCCGGACATTTTGATGCTCCAGCGGCACGAACCCACTCGAGGATCTCTTTGTACCCCAATGTTCCCTAACAGCCAGTAACAGCCACCGCTGAAACCAAGTCCAAACACCCGACCCGACCGAACCGACAATGACGGGAGACGGGAACCACCACTCCCGTCTCTCACTTGTGCCTCGGCAAACACAACCCCACTCTTCCAGTCGCATTCCACATGGGCCGTTCAAGACGAACAAGATGCCGCCACCACTCCCGCCAGCCCATGGCCGATCCCTTTTAACCACGACAGCCGACGGTCACTGAACATCTCGCTTACCGTCTCTTTCTGTCCGTGTCGCTGTCGATTCCTGTCCCAACTCCCGCCGCCGGATATCCTCGTCTCCCAACCAACCCAACCATCACCACCAAAACAAACAACCACAACAGCAGTCACAATGGCGGTTGAACGTCTCGGTTCCATCCTCAAGCACCTGACCCCAGGTAGCGCTCTGAGCAACATCACGGCCAAGAACCCCGACGACATTGTCATCACTCTCGCCATCCGCACCCCACTCACCAAGGCCAAGAAGGGCGGCTTCAAGGACACCTCGCTCGAGTATCTCGCCTATGCCACTCTCAAGGAGGTCAGGGAGCGCTCCAAGATTGATCCCGCGCTCGTCGAGGATATCGCCATGGGTAATGTACGAACTTTTTAGTGACTGTCACAAGGGACTCGGTTCAGATGTTAATGGCCGTGTTTGCAGGTCTCCGATGGCAAGGCCGCCTACAAGCTCCGTGCCGCCGCCCTCGCTGCCGGCTTCCCCAACACTGCCGGCGCCTACTCGCTCAACCGCTTCTGCTCCTCGGGCCTCAAGGCCGTCGCGGACATTGCCCACTCCATCTCGTGCGGCTCCATCGAGGTCGGTATCGCCCTGGGCGCCGAGTCCATGAGCGTTGGCGGCGACGCCCTCGAGCAGCCCTTCGACGAGGCCGTCACCTCCCAGTCCCAAGAGTCCGCCGACTGCATGCAGCCCATGGGTTGGACCTCCGAGAACGTCAGCCGTGACTTCGGCATTACCCGCGAGGAGATGGACAAATACGCCGCCGAGTCGTTCCAGCGTGCCGAGCGCGCCCAGAAGGCCGGCCTCTTCGACGACGAGATCGTCCCCATCAAGACCCGCGTCAAGGACGCCAATGGCGAGTGGAAGGACGTCACTCTCACCAAGGACGAGGGTATCCGCCCCGGCACTACTGCCGAGAGCCTCGGCAAGATCCGCGTTGCCTTCCCCCAGTGGGGTCCCACCACCACCGGCGGTAACGCCTCCCAGGTTACTGATGGCGCCGCTGCTATCTTGCTCATGAAGCGTTCTACCGCCGTTAAGCTCGGCCAGCCCATCCTCGGCAAGTACGTGGGCTCGACTGTTGCTGGTCTTGCTCCTCGCATCATGGGTATCGGCCCCTCCATCGCCATCCCCAAGCTTCTCAACCAACACGGTCTTACCCTCAACGATATTGATGTCGTCGAGATCAACGAGGCTTTCGCTTCCATGGCTGTCTACTGCCGTGACAAGCTCGAGCTCGACTGGACCAAGATGAACCCCCGCGGTGGTGCTATTGCTCTTGGCCATCCCCTTGGTGCCACCGGTGCTAGACAGATTGTCACTGGTTTGGCCGAGTGCAGGAAATCGGGCAAGAAGGTTCTGTTGACGAGCATGTGCATTGGCACTGGTATGGGCATGGCTGGCCTTTTCGTCAACGAGCAGTAAACAAAAGCAGGGTCTGGATGGGAGTTGGATAGTTGAAAGCGATACCACACACTTTTTTGTATACATTGGCGGCGCTTGATCTTGTACAAACATAATGATGATGACATGAACCACACACCTATGCGTTCCTCTTCTATTCTGTGCTCATCATACCATTTATATCACTATTTGCTATCGCTGTCTACTACGCTAGTACTTCATGTCATGATCCACACCCAAACTTGACGCTACTACATGTAACCACGCCCCTTCCAAACCTAAACCACCGCCCATCCCTCCCACTCAGCCGGGTACATGGGATCCACCCACTTCTTCTCCTTTTCCCAATGCCTCTGCACCCTCTCCGCCTCCTTCAGTCCCAGTGCCAGCGGCGACATCTTGCCTGGTCCATCACTAGAGATACCAAACCACGCATCCTCCTCCGCCGACAGGTGAACAAACTCCCAATCTCTCATGCTGCCCATGTCGGCCGGAAACTAAAGGCCGAACACTGTTCCTTTGAACACATCCCCATGTGTGAAGATACGCCACAAGGTGGCCAAAGCCCCCTCCAAATCCCTCCAGTTATCCATCGATCCTTTGCTCTTCTTCCATGACCCGAACTGGATCGTTTCTTCCCCTGGTGTGTCTTGAGTCGGCCCCCCCGTTCCGGGACTGCCACTGCTGGCCGCCGTGACCACACGTTGTTCCCAAAACACTCGCAAAAGCATGCCGAAGAAATGGGCCAGGTGCCTAATGTTCGGCTTCGTATTGGAAAAATGCGCCGGCTGGTCGGCGACCGGTGGGCACGGGCGTCGGACTAGGAGCCAGAAGACTTGGAGAGTGTAGCCGAGGTGAAAGGCCATCTTCTTGGATGTTAGGTCAAATGACTTGTGCATGGTATTGGTGTGTTTACTCTTCGTCATGTTACTTTTGTTGAAGTACTGGAAGTGCTTCTGGACCTCTTCCAGAGTGATGCCGGTGGGACAGAGCAAGGGAAGGTACGCCTGAGCCCACGCGGGATTGTGTATGAGGGGGTGTTCTTGTTGGATCCAGGCGATCAGCTGCAGAGGGGTCGGCTTTTGGCCGTCCTTGTCACTCAGGAATGTAATAACCTCTGTTTCTGAACGGGCGTCCTTGTTGCTCAGGACTATAAAATTATCTGTTTCTGAAAGTGACGGGATTTTGATCTGTCCATCGTGTAGATACCAGGACCGGATCAAGGCTTCATGGTTGGACGTGGAGCTGGAGGCAGAGACATCCATGATTGGCGAATATGTTTATAGTTGTGCTGCAGATAGATGGGTGCGGTTTGTTCGTTGGTCTTCCGAAAGTAATAGAGGCTTCGTAACAGACTTGGATGATGGGGTTGACAAGTGGCTAAGCGTGAATATGGCCAGAGTTGAAGAGAACGGGGAAGAGAATGGTGTTACTTATACAGATGCAAATGCGTTGTTTGTTTCTGTGCGTCAATAACCCTGGGGAAATTGCCACTGATGGGGCCCGAGTGAAGAACAACTTTTGAAATACTCCGGGAAGTTTCGACTTGAATGCGAAGGCAAGAGCGGCGGCGGAATCAGAAAGAGAACTCGATCACTGGCACCTTCCTGTCAATGACATTGCTTTGTCCTAATGGAGGAGAAGACGTCGAGAGTTCCTTCTACGGATCTACTTAAACGTCAAGGTAAGTACGGCAGCGCAAATAAGGCGGTTGCGTTACTGACCATATCTTGGTGGAGACGCTGATGTGACTTAACGAGATCGCAAGAGAGATATAAATAAACGGAAAACTAAAGCGTTGATCTCCCATCTGATCGTGCTGCATTGTGACAGTAGCCGCGGCCTGGTTGATGATAACGGAGAAAGTCAAGACCGGGCCTGGGCATGCAAGAGATACCTCCTTCCGGTGAAGGCGAGGTACCTTCCATATCAACACTCATTCCTGCCTCGACCTCCTGCCCAGGTCAGGTGCAAATACCCCGCGAATTGGAGGAGTATTATAAACAGAATCGGTCTTTCCTTGGTCGTAGCATGTCTTGTGTAACACAAAAACCGAGAGAGTTCCATCCAGTCTCATTCTCCTGGGCGGGTACATTTGAGGCAGGAGTGAACGGCTTCCACTTGACTTGTCGAATCTGTCCGGGTGGTTCCAATAGTGCGTAAAAGTGGTGGAGAGAAAGTCAAACTGCTGACAATCAAGATCGCAAGAGAGACATAAATGAACGGAAAACTTGGAAAGCGTTGATCTCCCATCTGATCGCATTTCAGATCATGTCTCACATCATCACACAACAGAAAAAAACTCTAGATTCTATGGGTATCAAAAAGCCAAAAAAACAAAAAAAGAAAAAATTTCCTTCCCTTCTCTTTCTCCCTACTCCAAACCTGACTGCCTTGATTGCAACCACCTCATATCCCGTCAACTTCATGTTGCCCCTCCACAAAAACCCCCTTGACCCTCCCTCCCTCCCCTCTCTCCACTGCCAGCTCCAGCAACTCATGCGCTCTCTCCACTGTCTCTTCGTCTATGCCTTGCTCGAACACCAGATCTTCTTCGGCAAAGTTGAGCCTGCCGAGAGACACCAAGTAGCGATGGGGGAGGGCAGTGGTCATGTTGCTAACGGTCGAGGCATGGGCATTGGGGATGCTTGGGTTGAGGTTATGGCGGGAATTCTGCCCATGTACGGCGGCGGCATTGAGGGACGCGCGGCTGTGCAGGGCGTGGAGGGCTGTCGGTCGGATGGGAACACCGCGGGTGGTGTTGCGGCCGTTAGGAGCGCGGGGGCCGTTGCGGGCGGCGCCGCGGCCGGTTCCCGGGTATGTGGTTGTCGGTGGCCCGGGTGATACCGGTGTTGCGAGCTTGCGGGCGATAGGGTTGACGATGCCGGAAGTTTTGGGATGAGTGACCAGTG